GGTGGGTACCCCTCCAACACGATCTGAATGAGTGTAAGATCGAATCGCACCTGATCTGTCGCCATGTGTTTCCGTCTGATGCTTCCTCAATTGAGCCATCGACACAAAAGGAATGAAGCACTCTGGGCAGATCATCTGGGAGTCAGGCAGGGTCAGCGACTGCTGCAGATGTCGTTGACGCAGGTGATACCACGTGGTCGTCAGTACCTGCATTTGATTGTCATAATCCACGATGTTATCTCTCAGGAGAATATCATTGGAAAATAACTGATTTCTGCGATGAAATTCACGTACCTGAGCGTCTTGGCAAAATGCCACCAATTGGAGCAGCGGGTCCGTCAGATGAAAGGTCTCCAGAAATGTTTGATGTGTCTGTAATGTTAAGTGAGTGGGAGCACGAAAAATTCTGCGCAACTGTTTGAAACATGCAATGTCAATCAGTGCAACAGTTTGTGGTGTGAATCCCACAGCCATAAGACTGTATCTTAACGTGGTAAAGACACATTGTTTCCAGAGTTGATACTTCTGGTGGCCTCTAAGTCCTTTGGTTGTATGGAGCCAACGGTGTAGCTGCTGGCCAGTCTTTTCGCTGGCTTTGATTCGAGCCAAGGTAGTGGCACGTTCAAAGTTGTAGTAGCAAACCGTTGCACCCAGGTACTGAAAATGTTTGACCAAACGGATGTATGTGGTCTGTCCAGATCTTCTGGGAATTTTTAAAAAGGCTCCATTGGATGTTTTCATGATGTGTTGCTTCTGCGTTTTGGCCACGGCTGTACCAACAAGGCGCAGGATAGCGTAGGTTTTCTCCAAATTGATAGTCAGTTGCGCTGCCTCAAGCAGATCCAAGGTAGATCCAATCTTTTGGACAATCTGCACGAATTGCGCAGGTGACGTCACCACCTCATGCATGCAACCGTCATCAGCATACATCGTAATGCAATCATACAGCCAACTTTCATCAATAGTGTGTCCACAATCCAACAGGATTTCAGTGATGTAAGCCGCCCACAAGGTCGGAGCAGCTTTACACCCTTGTCTGATCCCACGCGATGTGCCCAATTGTCGAGTCTGGCCACGATGTTGAAACGAAAAACTGGTATCAAAATAAATTGCATTCAAGAAGTCAAGCAACTGGGAAGGAACACCAAAATTGGATAAGCACCTGAACAATTTACCTCTCGGAACCATGTCAAAGGCCTTCGACAGGTCAAGGGTCACCATGAGGCCACCTTCCAATGGACCAGGGTGTAAACCCAATGCCAACTGTTGCAAGGGAAATCGATGTGATTGACAAATGGTTCGAACAGCATCACAATGCCTAAAAACACGAACGAGTGCATCAGCTGTGCCACGGCCTGGAAGGTAGGCGTACTGTGGTACTGAACACAATGTAGCTCCTATCGTGTCAAACAAATGTGAGGCCAATGTACCAAGCAGGGCCTTGCCGCAAGGTTCCAACAAGGTTATAGGTCTGAGGTCCTGCGGTGCATGAGATCGTCTGGTATGCTTTGGGAGGAGACAAAGGCAACCCATGGTCCATTGCCTCGGCAATGTCATCTGTTCACTTCCAGTGCAAAAATACTCCTGTAGGTAAGGGGCAAGCACATCAGCTGCACTGTGCCAAAATGGCGCTGGTGCGAAGCCAGGTGCCAAAGCCTTCAGGGCAGGGAGATCAAGAAGACCCTGCTGGAATTCCGATTCAGTGAAAGGCCAAGTAAAAGGTTTGCACATCAGTGCTGCCTCTGGGTCATAGTACAATTCCATGAGCCACTCCTGGATCCTGTCAGCCGCATCATGAGGATTCAAGATTGTGCCAGTTTTGTCACGGATTTGAATCTTTCTGAATGGTTGTTTTGGTGCCAATTCTCTGATCGCCTGGTACATCCGAAAGTGATCCTTGGCCGCCTCAGCTCTGCCTGCAGCTTGAAAAATTTTGTTCAAACGTTGTTTACGGGCAGTAGCTGATGTCAGTCTCATCTGTTTGCGAGCACGTTGTCTGTGATGTACATGAAACCAGGCCTTAAAGAGATTTCCCAAGTCAGGATGTCGGAGATCTCGTAGATGTTGACTGTGAGCCTGGAAAAGCTGAAATGGTGTGATGTCAAACCTATGAACTGCCTCTCTTCTCTGATGTGCCTGTGGTGCCGGAAAGGAGTTCAATGCATTGTGAACATGTTCAAAACGATTGCCGTCTTGTGGAAGGGCCAAGATGGAGGCCTTGATGTCATTCTGAAGTTTCACAACTGCCTCTGGATTCTGTGTCCATTGTCGATGGAGTTCGAGCCTCTGTGATCTGGTCCATCCCGTTGAGGTTTCTGAAAAATTCTGATGCCACACCTTCAGTAGAGAAGCAATCTGAGGTATGTGATGTGCTCCAGAATTGCAGTTCAACGGAAAATCACAGAGATATTGTACATGTTTCGAAGTCGCATCTGAATGGTGCCGTCGGCAAATCACAAAATCAATCCTAGATGACTGTTCTCCAAAAATGTAGGTTGGTCCCAAAAGAGCATCCCAGGTGTTGACCGCAGTCAAATCAAACTGTTGCAAAAGATTGTGAAAAGTAGATGCATCTGTATGCTTGGGTCCCCCACAGCGTCCAGTTTTCCAAGAATAGGATTCCATACCCACAGCCGTCGATGTACACCCCAGTGTCGTATTCCAGTCTCCCATGAGCGTAAGATGATTGCGCTTGGGAATGTGGGTCAGCAAAGTCTGAAGTTCCGTCCAGATTAGATGTCTATCTTCCATGCGATCACGTGCATGAATGTGTTGATAGATATTGATAAAGTCCAGATCTTTGTCATGTCCATGGATCCGAATGTGCATGAGACGGCCTGGAACAATTTCATGCCAAGACAAGTCGTGTACTTGACATAGAGCTTTGGAGACAAGGCAGAGCAATCCAGCACGTCCATCTCCAATGCCACTGTGCATGGCGTAGTAGTGCTCCATGAGCCATTCATTCGTATGTCGCCAATGCGTTTCCTGGATCATGATCACATCCAATCTCTGACATTCTATCCACTGCTGAAAGAAATCCCATCCAGAAGGAGATAAACCACTGCTGTTCTAATTGAAGCAGGTGATTCGTTTTCGTTTCAGTTTTGTGTTGTGAGTGATATTCAATTTTTGAGGGACATCATGAATGGTGCCTCTGTAGGATGTACCCAGTTGTTGTGCAGTGCAAAAACGACCCTTGTATAATGTAAATCCATGAGTTTCAGCCCTTCGGATTGCTCTTTTGTAGCTGCGTTTCTTGATACACTGACTTGTGTTGGTTTGGGTTTGCTCTAAAGCATACTGGAGCTCCTCAACATGTTCTTTCGCGGGAGTCCGTACAGGTACCCCCGCTCTCACGCCGTCCATGTTGCCGGCGCAACCCTCACTCCCCTGCACGCTTGTTGTGATGGCCAGAATGGTCACAAATGAAAACCAAAGCATCCACCAAACACTTCTGTTGCGCGTAGCTCGGACTTGGGACCGAGATGTTGTCAAGGTCTGCGATCTGGATTCCGCAAAACAAGCAAAATAAGTGCTCCAACCGTCCCCACTGTTCTGTGAAAATAAGAAAATGTGCAGGAAGGTGAGAGTCAAACCAGTGCTAAAGGGCACGTTGTCCAGCAGTAGCACCAGTAATATGCTCAAAGTGATCCAGTGACAATGATTGCAGTGCAATTGATCAGGATATGAAGGGCCAGTGTGCCAATAGGGAGCCCACCCCATATACAATCCAGTCACCTAAGATCAGGGAAGCGAAAAACCAGAAGAAAAATGAAGATGCCCAATCGCCAAGGTTGCCGTCAGCAGCACAGCGCAATGTCAATGCCGCTGCAACAGCGCGCCCACCAAGCCGCCGCTGCCACAGCAACGCACCCCAATGGATGGCAAAGCCAAGGGGGCCACCAAGCTGCAAAGTGCTCCGTGCCAGCGAACAAGTACACACACGTGGGCACCGCAAGAACTACTAGGTGTCACAGGACCCTTGACCCCACAGGAGCTTGTGTGTGTGTGTGTCTGTGTGTCTGTGTGTCTGTGTGTCTGTGTGTCTGTGTGTCTGTGTGTCTGTGTGTCTGTGTGTCTGTGTGTCTGTGTGGTCTGTGTGTCTGTGTCTGTGTGTCTGTGTGTCTGTCTGTGTGTGTGTCTGTGTGTGTTCTGTGTGTGTATGTGTGGACTCTGTGTGGTGTGGTGTATGGGTGTGTGTCTGTGGGTGTGTGTGTTGGTGTGTGTACTGTGGTGTGTGTCTGTGTGTGTGTCTGTGTGTGTGTGTGTGTGTGTGTTTCTGTGTGGTCTGTGTGGTGTCCTGTGTGTGTCTGTGTGTGTCTGTGTGTGTATGTGTGTGTATTGTGGGTCTGTGTGTGTCTGTGTGTGTCTGTGTGTGTTGTTGTGTGTCTGTGTGTGTCTGTGTTGTGTCTGTGTTGGTCTGTGTGTGTGTGTGTGTGTTGTTGTGTCTGTGTCTGTGTGTGTCTGTGTGTGTCTGTGTCTGTGTCTGTGTCTGTGTCTCTGTCTCTATATATATATACAGATATATATATATATATACATACATACATACATACACATCTCTCTCTCCCTCTCTCTCCCTCTCTCTCCCTCTCTCTCCCTCTCTCTCCCTCTCTCTCTCCAATTGGATCCCCATGAAATAGTGTATATCCTCAATCAAAATAAATTATATATATATATATCTGTATGTATAGATGATCCCCCCGTGAATTCCCCAAATATCTCCATATTCATTGGTTACCATCCCCTCATCAAATCAAACCCTGCCATGAGTATCATGAGGGGGGGTTGGAAGACCATTCCGACACTAAAAATGGACCGTTGTTCTCAGGGTCAACCGTTAGATTGGGAATGGGAAATCCTATAGAAATGAACAGTTGACCCAGAAATAATTGGAAAATTCTCCCTATAAAACCTGACTTTTTCCCCTGACAATTCCTCCCCTGGGTTGGATCACAAAGTTGCCACTGACGTGACGCTTTTCGCACGGATCGTGCCTCCTTTGCCTCCCTGAGGCCTGAACGAACACAGCGAAAATTGAGGAAAATGGTAGGTTAAAAAGGGGCCAAATATCAGATTCTCATGGCTTGTGGTCTTAATTTCCAAGATATGGATGTAACTGGCCTGAAACCCGTAGCTTGATTGTTAGAACCTCCTTAGGCTATACCGTATGAGCATGATTTAGCCGTTAGAATGTCTCAAAAGGTCTACTCTCCGAGGATGTCTGAGGCATTGGCCATCCCTTTTCGCCACCGGCACCTCAAGACTTCGTCACAATGGGGGATGGATGGCTGTGGATGGCTGTGGATCGCACATCCTGACCAACCATGTGGAATATGGTGGAACATGGTGTCACTTGAGATCTCTTTGAATCTTGTTGAATCTTGTTGAATTTGAACTCATGTTCCACGCAGGATTCAAAATCGGAAGCTTTTTTTTCCCACATCAACTTGAGACTCCCACCTTTTTGCCAGTCGCCCCACTCGCCATAGTCGTAGCCGTTGGAGCCTTCCCATTGCCCATGCCGCTCGTGTGATCGCTCCGATCTGAAATCGCGGGGCGGAATCGGCACGGGCCTCAGAGGCCACCATGGTGGAGGGAACGGGGCTGCAGCATACCGAAACAGACGACGTCTGCATACAAATCAATGTGTGTGCTCATGAGTCATAGGCACAAATATTGAAATATGTGTTGTACGTGTATATATATATATACGTAATTATAATTAGAATTATAATTATAATTATATTTATAATTATGTGTGTGTATGTCTGTATGTCTGTCTGTCTGTCTGTCTGTATGTATGTATGTCTGGATGGATGAATGGATGGATGGATGCGTGCATGCATAATGTAATGTAATGTATATGTGTATGTGCATATGTATATATATATATATGTTTTATATTTATATGTGTATGTATCTGTATCTGTATATGTATATGTATGTGTTATATGTACATATATATGTATATGTATATGTATATGATTGTATATGTATATGTATATATTGTATATACATTTAAATATATACATATTACGTACGGTTATCATATACGTACAAAAATGAACAAATATGTAAATATGTGCTATCTAGTTCAGCGTGAAAAATCCGACCATGATAGCACTGATCCAGACGTGAAACATGGTTGTTTCAGATTCCAGGCAGTTGGATTTCACTGTGCAACTTGGCAATTTTGCCCGCCAGCCGCCCAAGATAAGTCTGGCCTAGGTCTGGCCGTCTTGTCTTTGAAGCATCGTAAAAAATTACTGTAGAATGAACAGCCGCAAAGGTGAAACAATAGTGCAAAAACTGTGTCACTGTGTAAAACATTTGTAGCTTTACCCAGCAAAGATGAAACATGGCACACGACGCATTCGTGGCAATACTTTAAAGAATTTGTGGAGAATCCACCAAAAGAGCAACCATGCTAAGGCCAGAAACGGCCAAGAATCAGATAAACCTTTTTCGGCCATCAGGACGGCCGATGAGTCGACTGCCCAATTTATAGCACCCAAGAGCACTGCAGCCACAAGACCAGCAAAAGTGGCAGCCACAAGTCTGGGCACTTTGACCATCAGAAGGAAACCCAGCTTGACCATCAGATGTGCTAAAATCAGAAACTCGAATAGGCTCGTGATGACAGGAAGCAAATAGAATCTTGTGACTGCCACGACACATCTCCAAAATTTGACAATCAGCTCAGTACTTTGCAAAACCCACAAGTTCCTCATCCATGCCACACTGTCACACAGCCATGGAGAGCAAGTGCCACACAAGAGTAAGATTAGAGTAGAATGGGAAAATATCATGTTCGCAGCAAGTTGAGTTCGAATTCGCTGTCCAAGCGTTGTTTGCACTTCCTGATTGAACTTGTCCAAATGCTCCTCGTCCGCCTCCACATACCACGTCTTCAACGTATCAAACACCAGCGCCCGGTCACACAGCATGGTCTCACCGGTTTCTGGGTGCTGGTGATGGTGTGCGCAGCAAAAACACTCAGAAGCCTTCCAACTAAACTCATGCACCTGCCGATTGATATCCTGAATCTCTGCCCACACGCCCAACAGCTGATACTCCATAAGACAACAGGCAGCAAGGATACCGACACTCAACGGGATATCAGCTGTACTGCCAAACATCCCTCCTGACTGTGGTGGTCGAAGTTCCACAGACACGGCCCACCAGAGAATTTGCAGGCAAGCAGACCCACCCAGAAAGGTCGCGATCCATGCAAGCTGCACCCCTGCTGTTGCCGCAGGCAGGACGGCCACTCGTTGATTCCTTCTTCTGCTCTTCCGTAGGAAAGCGGCAACCTCGAAGCAACACCAAAGACGCGTGAAGAACCGCGGGGACCATAGGATGGTCAACTCTTCCGAGTGATCCAAAAAGGAAGCCAAACCCAGAATACCTCGTGTTTTCAGCTTCGGGTCATGCTGCGCGATGCATAGCCTGTCAAGGAAAGCGATCTTTGGTCTTCTAAAAAAGCCGCGGACCCTCTGCCACAAGAAGAGGAATAAAACAAAGGTGGCTTGTGGCAAAAGGGAAATCAGATCTGTAGTCCGGGTATCGTTGTTAGTGGCAGCTTCTATGTCCTGCCAAGGGGTCTCTCTGCAGAGACCGACAATCATGGCACAGACCACGGCTGCAACTGTTGCAGCATGAGCATTGAAATAGATCATCATGACCACAACCTTTCTTCTTCGAGAAGTGTTCCAATCATGACTCAGAAAGTTGTCAATCTTGGACACCTGGAAACTCAGACCATAGTCACGTCTTCGGATGTCATACATGCTTTGTGCTGAGTTGTTCGCAAAATGTTTGCCCCATCCACTAAGACAATCACTCAAAGACACTCCACGGAGCAGTGAGGCATCCAATCCTTTGAGGAGTTGGTTTTCCACATGTTCCGCAGAGGCCGCCCCCAACTTTGCTGGAAGCGTTTCCTCGGCCACTGACCAGTTGTCGGGGTCCGAGGCCGTTTTGCGTTGGAGGCTGACGCTGAGTGCCTGGATGAGGCGGGGAGGCGAAGGCGCACCTGCGCGGGTAGCAGTCGTTCCCGCAGCATGATGCATCCGCGCAGAGGTCCAAGCACCGCTGAGCTCACGGTCGGAGCTCGTGGCACTTGAGAAAAAATGGGCAGGAGCACGGGTCAGCATTCACGGGCGACTGAAGTAACAAGGAAGATCCAAAGGTCCCAAGGGTTCTAGTCCAGTATCATTAATGCCGTTATGAATAACAACAACATTTTGAGCAGCAAAAAACTAATTGCTCAAGAGTGACCACTTCATTTCTCTGAATGTTGCGTTTATTGCAGCGCAAAGACGTTGGGATCAAATTTGGGAGCATCCCAAATCCTCCGAAGTTTCAAAAATCCCAGTTCATGACATGAAGCGCCTGTGCACTGCCCTTGTGCCAACATATAATGTGGTATATAAACCCGATAATAAAGCATGCAGTGACCGACATGTGGATGTAATGAAATTAATGTACATCATCCCCACGGGGGATAGAGCCAAAATCAGCCAAACAAGTCACCCCAATTGAAAAAATCGCTGGAGTTTACCTCAGAAAATCCGATAAATCCACCATGTCTCCTGGTTAAGTCCTCATTTTCCATGGTTAACTCAGTTAACTCCCCCCGTTTTCCAACAGCTCCTTCCCACTTCCAGGTTGCTGCCGCTGTGGGGGATCCGCTGCGTAGGTCGATGGCATGTAGGGGGGCGCTTTCATTGCCATTCTGGCAAACCTCCGAGCAGTCATGGAAAACCCATGAACAAATGGCCAGAAACCCACACCTGTTTGACCGGCAAACATATGAACATACAGGATGGTACCCCCCAGTTATAAGTTGGTTTATAAACCCCATTGACTATAGTTAGTTATATCTGCCATAAACCATAGTTATAGGAGTTATAAACCAACTTAGCTAACTATGGGGCACCACCTTGTATTTGCTTAATGATAAACGAAATGCAAAAAATGAATGGAAACATATGGAAACCCAAGGTTTTGAAGCGGAAAATCTAAGGCTTTCCTGCAAACACAAGCGGAATTTCCGGCCACTGCCCCCAGTTGTATCAGTAGTGTTGCGGCTTGGTGACTCCTGCCCCCAGAGAGCGGCCGGATGCAGTTGTCGAAACTGCGGCTGACTCGCTTGAAAACCTGCCTGACGCTGGGGAGCATGGCCGGGTGGCACCAAGAAATGTCTGGAAAATTACCGGTTGGTTTGGCCGAGACTGGTCCTGCCGCAACAAAAACCTCCAACTTTGCAAAATCATGCAAAATCCACCCGTTTTTGGGAACTTTGTCAGGCAACTCCTAGCCAACACGCCAACAAACTTCGTGGCACTTCGTAACACTTTCCAAGCCATTCTCAGCCACAGCTACGGGCAGCGACATCCCAGGTGGTAGCCAGTCCGTCGGTGGCATGTAGGGCATCCCACCTTGGTCGCCATGGCGGTGCCATAGCAACCGGGGCAACTGAGGCAACCGAGGCAACCGAGGCCCCAACCCATCATGGGTTTGTAGCCCGATCTCTCGTCACACAGAAAGACACCCGGCTGAAACATGCGACCTGAGTTGAAACACAGGGGAAGTGAAACATGGTGGGGCTAAAATGAGATGAAATTAACGGAATGCGATTCCCCTATTACTACAGCCAACAGGGCCGACAGGTCAACAGAAACCCCAAGCTCTCATTGCTAAATCGCCAATTTTTCCTTTCTGAATCCCTACGTTTCCTTCCTTCATTCCCCTGGTTTCTTTCGCGAAATCCCCATGTTCCTTGCTAAATCCACATGTTCCTGCTGATATAAATCCACGTTTTTGCGTTGAAATCCCCCCAAAAAAAACGAGTGTTCAAAAGTCGACCAGCCCCCCTGGGTCCGAGCAGCCGCCCGTGCTGAAGGGGTTGCCCCCAGTGGTGGCCGCCTGAAGTCTCTGCTTCTGCGCTAGCGCAGCGGCGGCCTGGAGGCTGGTGCTGGTTTGGAAGGGAAACTGGCAGGTGTTTTTTAGTGATTTAGATGAGTTTTGCCAGCTCAATTTTGGAGTTAAGTGTAACTGATTTAACTGATTTAACAAGATGTAGTCAAGTAAAAATGGGAGGATCGCCATCAACAATTGGGAGCCAAACGCTGGGTCGGCAGTCAATGGATTGTTTTGACCAAGCGAAATAGGTTTTATTACTCTTGGATGATTTCGATGAAACCTTTGATGGTTGACCATCATCAAAGACAGAATGCCAAAAACGGATTATATAAAAACGATGCAAATGCATATTCACAAACGAAGTCCAAACCATTGCTTGATTACAATCTCTAAATTCAGGATGGAACCCAACAAGGCCCATATCCGCTAGCAAAGCATCTTTGGGACCCCAGTTTTTGGGTTCCATGTGAAAATTCGGGAGGTAGATCTTGGCACAAAAGTCGGTCCATTTATGATATTTATTTCTTAGATATGGGCTTGTCTGAAAATAGGGTACCCCAAAACCCCCCAGGTTTACCAACGTTTCCTCATTAAACGGGGTATCCACCATTTTAGGGACAAACCAGTGTCTAAGAAGTCTTGGAAAAGGCTCCAACTCCAAGTATCATCAAGTACAGTATGTACAGTACTTCGTCCCATGAATCTTTGAAGGCCTAGGTCCGATTTTTTGATCAATCAATCTCTTATATAACTCTTAATCTGGGCATCTAGCTACATTGAAAGTGATGGTCCCATCATCGTGGGAAGAAATCGAAAGGATTCTACAAACCTTCCACAAGTCCAAGGCATATCATTGATATATCATGCTCCATCCATACCCCCCATCGTCCTACTCCGGGTTGCAGTTCCAATGAACTAAGTTTTGCAAAAAAATCGGGCCCAGAAATCCCAACTTTCCCCAACTGGGGGTGCAATAACCATGAGTATACCATGAGTATAGCCCATGGCTTTGAAATTCATCCTGCCTTGGCAGCCTCTTCGATTTCCCGTTCCTTGGCTGCTTCCTCTTCGGCCTCTCTGATCAGCATCTGGCCGTGGCGCCGTGTTTGGCCGAACTGGGATGGGATGGCCGAAATGACCAAAAAAAAAGGTTTACCCTCTGGTAAACTAACATTGCTATTGAAAATCACTATCTTTAAGTTCGGTAAATCAACTATTTCAATGGGCCATTTTCAATAGCTATATATGTATGTTTGCCAGGCCGGGTACATCGTTTTATGGCAGATCAGAAGGACCAACTAGTTAGAGGTGGCCGTGATGCCCATGTCAAACATACCAGCTGTTCACTGACAAGTGCATGATAACTCCTGACAACTCTAGTATATGGAGTGGGGACACCAAAGGCTATGCCTCAACATCTCTGGCTATATATAAATGTTATTATCGTTTTTCTCCTTCCGCGAGTATCATCCATCAACCCAACACATATCATCTGGAGAAATCATAACCCTTCACCAGCCTGAAGAGTCAGGCCATTTGGGGATACTATGGATTTTCTGCAAGTAGGGTGCCCATTCCATCCATTGGTTAATCATTGGTTAATCATTGGTTAATCATTGGTTAATCATTGGTTAATCATTGGTTAATCATTGGTTAATCATTCGTTAATCATTCGTTAATCATCATCTTCCAGACTGAATCGACTATTTTGGGGGACCCTTATCATGATCCTCATCCCTTCCAAGGATGACAGGTCGGTGGATCCTCTTCACTCAGCAGATCGGCCTGGCACGGCCGGTCCAAGGGACCAACGTCATAGGCCCGGAAAATGATCGCACACCAGTGGAATCAGGGATGAACTGTTTTTGGACAAACCCTATCAAATTAGCGAAGAGAAGGATGTATACTACAGTACTGTACAGCATAACCCATAGGATCCATGTATGGTATATATGCTAACATTGGGGGTATATTGATGGTAAATGTTACCATATATAGCATACATGGATCCTATGGGTAAGGCTCAGCTACTCTGTCTTTCCGTGTCTTTCTTCTTCGAGGGATAAATGTCGTCGCCTTGCACTGACGAGAGTTCTAAGTTCTCATCTTGGACAATCATAGAACAATGTCCCCACAGTTGACATAACGCCACACAAGCATACAGATGTAATACATAAGCATCAACCACCATGTGTTTGGGAACGGCTGGGTGGCTAGTTTCTACAGTAGGTAGTCGTTTTGTTTCGTTTATGTGGAATTCAGAGTGCCAAATGTCAGGAGCCACATTGCTCTGAGCCATCTCAATACCTCAATGGGGGTTGTCCCACCTGCTTTGCTGCCAGCTCTAAGGCAAGTTTTCTATCCTGCAGTCAACTCGTGATGCCCATGGCCCCATGGCCCTATGAGTCGAGCTGCAGATCTAGAATCATTTCGACCCCACCTTAGCCCGTTGACGTTGCACGGCGCTTCTGAACTTCATGTGACGAGCCAATCTATGGATTCAACTAAACCCACCGGTCAAACATGGCTGGCTGGAAAAAAAAAATCGATGACTTTGTCCCAGCTAGAAACCCCCCATGGCTCGTTCGGGGAGTTTCCATTGCCATTAATCCACCCTCAAGTTCCGTGTCCTCCTCATTTTGGACGATGCTGGCGGAAGGGGCCTCCTCGGTAGCAGGAGCATCAAAAAATATCAAAGATACGTTGACTGAGTCGCACTCAGAAATGTCCTAAAGCCAACATTGCAATGGAAAATCCCACCCAGGGAAATGTAATCCATTAACTGCAAGAATCTAGAAAATGTTCTAGGTTTCAATGGATTGGTTTAAGGGAAAATAAAAAAGATCTGGAAAAAACCTCTTGATGAGTGGCCCCACACTGATGGCTAAAGGCCAACAATCTATAGCTAACTTAGCTAACCATAGATTTTCCCATGAAATATGTTTTTTTCCTGCAAAGTTTCCCTTAAACCAATCCATTGAAGGTTTTGATTGATTTTCCCTTGCCAAAATCTTCGACTTCTCAGCTGTCGGGGAACCGAGACCGGTTTCTCCGGCTTTGGCTTCTCAACGGGCGGCGGCCTCGGTATCTTTGACCCAGCCTCGATACAACTATCTACCCACTAGTCATTTAACCTGTTTATGGAAAATAGATAAAAAGAACCCCATTCACAGATGATTTATCCATAAAAAAAATGATTTTCCATAGCTATGTTAAATATCTTAAATTACCGGGGTGCAGCAAGCCTTTTTGGGGAACGTCGCAGGCAGCCCCCTGATTCCATTATTTCCGAGGCCCGGGAGGACAAATGGACACTGTACAGGGCTGTATTACAGTTTTAATATGCTTTAATCATGTTTACATATCTTTGGAGTCTTTATGCCTATCAGATCCTATAAGTATGTCCATAAAAAACACACTTGTCCAAGTGAAAAACGACCTGGTTTGTACTGATTATATTGTTGATGTCGTGAACTCCTCGAACATCTTCCCCAAAGATCGCCGGTCGTAGGTTCTATCTAGTAAAATGCCTAGCCTCACGAAAAAGCAGGTTCGACTTTGGAATTTGGCTGAACAATACATAATACATATATATATATATACACTGTATATACATGTAAGATCATATC